TGATCCATCATCATCTAAGTTCGGAAGAGTACTATTTGGGTCTGTAATGAAGTGAATATCACCTTTTATCTGTACTGTTTCATCTTGTGAAAATCTGGGGAGCTCTGGGAGACACTATTCGCTTTTGAGCATGTTTATCTTCATGATCTACACTAAATCTTCTGTGTGGATTTGCACATTCCAATTCAAGCAGTTCATGAGCATGTTTAGTTTGTAAATGCATCCTCAAGCTGCTTGTGTCGCAGTTATAAGCAATTTGAGTTTTACATAATATGCATACAATTTTAACTCTAGTAAGAATTTCTCCTTCATCAGTTCAAGGAAAACCAAAATATTTCCAATAAATGCTCCTTATATACGCGGGCATCACTAAATTCTTGTAATTAAATGTATGTTTTCCTCCGTTGGTTTAGCTAAGAGCATTTGCACATTCTGATCCACAATGTATTAACAAACACAATTTTCTCACACATCGGTATTCAATTTGAATAGCATCATCAGAAATTAATGACCATTGGTACACATGATACGTACAATTTTTTTTCCAAACGACATTGGCAAAAATGATGAAAACATTTCTTTCTCTAATAACGTTTCAAATACACTCCCAATGATTCTCAAGTTCCAAATTTACCGCGATATTTTCGATAATCAACTTTTGACAAATGTTTATCGAAGATCAATCGCTCGTTTCGGTCGCAAGCAGTGATCTCAACTATATAAAGTGGACCCACAACTGCAATGCTGCAAATTCTTCGGGAGCGTGACACCTGATTCTGGTGAGTTGGCAAACCTGGAGCGTATTCCAACGTGCCTTTTAGTACCATACGTATAATTTTTATCATAGTTCACGTGTTTTGGTACGGCGTGGAAAGGTTGTGGATCTATTTCGGTTAATTTTGCTTTTAACAAGAAACACAATGGTAAAGTATTGTGTTGCGTGCGGTTGTAAACAACTCCAGAAGACGGAAGTGGAATTCAGTTTCACAAGTAAGAGATTTCTCTTTCTACATGTATTTGAAATTACGGCGTTGTGCGATGCTTAACACAACCCTTTAACGATAAATTCTATATAAATATGTATTGTATTTCTACTTTACGAAATTCCCTTTTTCTTGACTAGAAATTTTGAGGAAATGGATTTATGCTGTCTGAAGAGAAAATGGAACCATCCACAAGTAGCACACTGCAGCAATCATTTTCTGGAGGATTGCTATCAGGCTAATTATAATACCAATTTGACGGTAATCATTGTTTCAAATGGTCTATGTAAAGTAAACATGGTTATAATTTCTGACGTTTCTAGGGTAGACCAGGAGTGAAAGCAATGATACTGAATTAAAATGCAGTTCCTTCTATGCTTGATTTTCCTGTCAATCTCTGTGAAGAAGCATCTCTGAGGCGATCTTTAATGTGATTGGAACCTTTTTGTGTCATTGTAAGTAATTTGAGAATGTGTTTAATATTTTTTCATATCATAATCTTTATTCCAATGAACAATATAATCTTTATTCCAATGAACAATGTATGAAAGAAAGAATTTGCCTTCAACAATAATTGAATAGTTTGTCCACATTAACAAGTATTACAGGACAAAGCAGGTGAATCTAATTTGGAAGTTGATTCTTAGTGCAAATCTCTTAGCAAAAAAAAAAAAAAAAAAAATGAAGGAGACACAAACAGGCCCTGTTTTTCAATAACTTACCAAAGCCACCCAGAGGAAGAAAATTAAGCTTCTGCAAACTGAATCACAAGGAATAAGATTAGTAACATAGCAGAATTAATCAAAGAATTAAGAAAGCAATTCTAATGTGGAAGTAGCTCTTGAAGAGAAGTTGAGTTGTTTTTTGTTTCAGTGTATCAAAAGCAAAAAATGATATGATTAAATTTACTCAAAAATATTTTTCTTTATGCAAATTAGCTTTGTATTTTTTGTTTCTTTGAATATTAAAGTATTTATATTTACACATTACAACATTGGAAAATACCTCAGAAAGATGGAAGCCGCGCGCTTTTGCCAAAGACGGAACGTTAACCAACTAGAAGGCTCTACGTGCGGAACGGACAGAACCACGACGGAAGGCGGTCGGATCCGCTCGGAATAGTTGTTCCCAAAAGCACCACAACTGCGCTAGTCACCGAACGGCGTGGCGTCAGGGAATGTGAAGCATAGAGTAGAAATACTAGAGTGCGCAGAAGGCCCGGCCGGGTATCAACATCTCTCGCGCCCGAGTCACGTGACTTCGGGATAGCTGGGAGGCATCTGTTATACACCCGTCTCGTACTAAATGATTTCTTTTAATAATTATCTAACATGCCTCACTCTAACGTTATTTTCTCATTTATTACACAGCCCTAAGAATGTTGCTTATAGCAGAAAAGTTACTTAAAGTTATTCTCCTCAATTTAATTAAGTGCATGAAAATTCCTAATTTTGTCCAACTTGTCACTCTCAACTGCGTACCCCACTACACCTGTTTTACAAGTACTATTACATAAGACAATAAATAAAAAAAATATTTGTAAAATGAATTAACTCCATGGGAGGCTCCAAGTTTTTGTTACTACTCAATGCTAAACATTCTATTATTGATACTCCACAACAGACATGTAACAGTTATCAAAATATTTCAAGGATTTGTAGAGGGGGAAAAACAAACTTTTATTTTGATATATATTTTGATTTATTTAGTCAAAAACAGTAAATATAGAATGTGATATACGGAGAAGTACCATCTGCACACATTTGCTTGAGCTCAAAAGTCTCTTCCCAACATTTCAACTATAGACATTAGACTTTTTCCCTCCCAAGTTATACAAAACGTATTTGCATTGATAAACAAACTGCAAGTTTTATTTTATTTTTTTTTGGTATTACTGACAAAACAGTAACATAACATTGGCTTTTCTCCTACCACTAGAAGCAAAAGGAGTGCTCAAGAAACCGTGCGCATAGTGAAGCTACATTTAAGTCCAGAGGCAAAACAAGGGGCCATCTCAGCATTTGCTCAATGGGTCAGGGAAATTGGCCAAAAACCTGATCAAAATGGGGTTCTTTGACCCGGAAGTTAAAAAACATAATTTTCAAAGAATTTACTAATAAAAATCAAATACTTACAATCATACAAACTATAAACACTAATATACTACTAACACTACAAACATAACTTACACTAGTAAATACGTAATATATACTACTAACACCAATAAATACACACACATTAATGCCCTCTAAATCAAATAATTTTATTGTTAACCGATTTTAATTCTATTTTTCTCGTAAATTTCAGTAGTTTCTCTTCCTATACGTTTTAACCTAATTTCAAAATATTTTAATAATATTGCCTTAATCAAATACATCCAATGTTTCAGCATAGCCTCTTGATATGATAAGTTAAATTACAAAAAACGGAATTATTTTCAATTTCTCTCAAACATCTATTTACAATTTTAGTATAAGCTGCCCTTTTAAAAATGTCACATCTCCCTTGAAGTATTCTTACTTCTACTTCTGCTCGTTTGCAGATTTTCACATCTGCAGAAGGGTATTTCAGCCCATTATCATCCTTCTTCTGAATGAAGGAATGTGATCCTTCATGTCTATCAGGCCGGAAAATAACTATCTTACAGTCAACACAAGAAAGTGACATTTTCAAATTTTTCACTAAAAATCCTCCAATATACGTTACAATGTCCACAATATAGACAATCTAGTTTCAAGATTGTCTACTGGTAGGAAGTACATATGGTCAGTTGGCACCTCAATGTACAGTTCAGGATCATTCACTTATGACACACTTGCATACTGGCGTGAACTAACATTTAATATAGTTGTTTCATCATGTGGAACACAATTTGCAAAGGCAGAAGAAGAAATCTGGTGATGCACCAGTAATCGCTTGTGCATCACAGATGACATGTCAAATTGCTTAGCAGTAGGATTATTGTTGAATCCGCCTTTGCTCAGTATGCAGCAGAAAAAACATTTCCGGATGATCCTGGCTAAACTTGTAGGCACCCAATAATTACGCTGTAGCACCAAAAATAACAAACAGTACGCAAAGGTAAACACAATACAAGGCAAAACAAGCTATTGGTGTCCCAGTCACATGACTTGCGGCCACCGCATTTTTGAAACCTGCGCAGTAGATTAACGCGCACTCTAGTTGTATCTCTCCTCTACTATGTGAAGGCCTTGAAGAATGTATTACAGAGCGTTCAGGGCAGTGAACGATTGATAATGAACAGCTTCGTATAACAGATAGAGCGTCGCCTAAAACCGCACATCGCTCTCCGCAAATTATTCTTCCGGACAGTCAGCTGAGTTGCATCTGTACTCGCGCAACTTTTCTTGAACGGATGGAATTCAAGAAAATGCGGGTTAGAGTGGGGGCCATTAGTTTACCAAAATTGGCCACTACATTTTATGCATTGCAATCTCTGGAGAATTCGTTCATGCCTTGTACAATGGTCTTAATATTGGCGTTTCTAACTTTCTCAGGAGTTTCGATGCGTATCTTCTTTAGATCCTTTACCTGCCCTATCATTTCTTTTATTTTTGAACATTTAATAAGGGATAGAAGTTCTCGTCTTTAAAAGAAAACTGTTTCAATGAAAGTGCCAGTGAAGATGTGTTTGGAATGTTGTCATCAGTGCTCGCTGCGAGCTTTTGCCTTCAACTGTTACTTCCGCTATTGTGCCAGAGAGTGGGAAGCAAGGATATTATTCAAAGTTGTTCGTTTAATAGAATAGGAGGGGAAATTCGTGTGACACCATCTACAATAAGGTGCAGGAGTTCAATTGACAACACTCTGACCCAGAATGAGTACTTGAGCGTTCAAGCAGCAGACTCAGGAGCACGGCATTCCTCTTGTCAGGAATTTAGCCCAGCCTCACTGTGTGACAGTGTATAGTTGAGGAAAAGGTGATTGTTTTCTGAGGAGTTAATACATTATTGAATTGATACAATTGAGAACGAATACGTGAGGAAGTACGTGAGAATGTCGTATTTGGCTATTGGTGCTAGAACTGATTGTCACCACATCGTTGAAAAATTCGCACGATTAAATACATTACGATATCACGATTTCGCGGAGATATGGCGCCAACTCAAATTCCCCTACATTTATTTCGGTCACCACTGTCTGGAAGAACTGATAGAATTTACGGAAGAAGTGTTACGTATAGCAAAAGAAAAGTGGTTGAAGAGCGAAGCATTAAATGAACAAACCGGAGGACTTTATACATTGTATGGACTGTATTTAAAGCAACCTACAGATGGTCTGGTGAAAGTGCGTATTACCCCTAAAGACTATGAACTGGTAGAGAAGTTTCATGAACAAATTAAAGTGGGTGGGCATCATGATGCTAATTATATATTAGCTAGAATGCATATTATTGGAGCCTTTCGATTTTGTATTTCTGAATATCCGTATGGCGTGGAGAAATCCTACCGCGCCTACCATGAGGATGACAGGAGTTTATGGGAAATAAAAGATGAACCTCTCTACATAAAAAGGCTGCAGAATGATGATATCTTCAATAAATTAGAGGATGCATTCAAACAGTACCATAAATCAAAATGTGAACTAGACTCGGAACCATCAGAGAATCCTCCATCCCTTCTTTCTTATGTTGATTCATTGTTTGGTCAGAAATTAAAACAGCAGTTTAGAACAATTACACAGGTTAATGATGATGATGATGATGATGGCGATGGTGGTCACAGTGATAATGATTCTTCACGTGCTTGGAATTCACCAGTAGCAAATGCATCAACTAGCGACTCAAAAATTAAACTACCATGGTGGATGTTGCCAATAACGAGACCTCATATGAAGAAATTAAGTGACAGTGAAAGTGACTCAGATTGTGAGGATAATTCTGAAAATGATAACAGCAAGCTAACCTCATCTAAAAACAGTCGTGAAGCATTAAATGTTGCCTTGGGGATGTCTGGAGATGAAGAGGATGACATCAATGATTATGAAAATAGACAGACAGGAAATATTTATGAATTCACGTGATATGCCTTGACCTATTGTAAAGAATTGTTTCAAAGCTTTGTTAAAAGAATTTACTTCTGAATGATTACTTCATGTTTGAGAAGTAGCAACTTTGTATATGTGTAATTCAAATACATGAATTTTTACATTTCATTTGCATTTTAAGCCAGTATATTCATAAATATTATATTACAACTGCAGGTTTCAACTTGGCAAGGCTTTTGACTTGATGCTAATTGTGGGAGTTTATACTCAGCCCACATTGATTTATCGTTGTGCGTTTTCAGTTGTGTAGATTTGTCAGTAATTCTTGATTATTGTAAAGTTGTTGCATTAATAATTTGTATATTTCATTCAGGACTTCCTGCATTTTTACACTATGTTACCTTTTATCACTGATTATATCAAGTAACAATTTGGATATTTGCTGGAAATCATGCTTCCAGAAATGAAGTGAATGTTCTTAATTCAAGTCGCAGTTCATTTTATCCTGTTCTGTACCCATTTTATGCACAAACACAATTGCCAAAATGCAATTAAAATTTTAATATGTTTAAGAACTTATGTATAATCACAAAACATACTTTTTATTTTGTCCCTTAATTGCGAAAATGAGAAAGCAAAATCAAGCATTGTGGTAACAACCTTATTTCGCATAAGGCACTTTTTCCTTGTAGATTTTAAGTAGGGACTTTGCATATTATTGCATGATTTGTTCATACTTTACTCATTATTAATTAATAAATTATAAAGAAAATAGTTCAATTAAATTTTCTGTTAGATTCCCATTTCATGCATTTACTTCATTTGGTCAACATTTGTTTGCAGCAAATATACAACATACACCTTACTAGTTTTTGGATACAATTGTGAGAACAATTACCTCTTTACATGATTTAATAAACTTCTTTCACTTATTTTATTACTGAATGTACTTAAACAACACAATCTTCTCCCACATGGCACATAGAGTTTTTACTGCTTTTTGACTAAAATCTAAACCCTTTAATTTTAAAGTGACCCCTCATTATTATTCATTTGCAAGTATAATCACATATTTACTGTGACTGGAAAATTGCCTTGATTAAGTATTTTTTCTTGTGCTAGCACTATTTTCTTCCTTAAAATTATTTTTGTTTCTGCCATCTTTATGTTCTTTGTTTCATTCTTTTTGAGCCACCTTTCAATCTTCCTGAAAGATTTGTGGTAAATTTGCATTTTTCTTTCATCTGACACCACCTGAACTTTCCCTTCTGCAACTCCCATTTTTTTCTGTGGTACTGTCATTTGTATCTTCTTTAGGTGTTTTTTTAGCAGCTTTTAACTTGGGACCAGGTAATTATTTGAGTAATCTAGTTTTGAAGTTCCAGCGCAAACTTGCACATAGCACACTAATCTCTATATTTGAAGAGATCAGAGACATAACATCAAATGCTGAGTCCAATGTCAGGTGTGTTTGGAGAAAGGAGGTAAATAAAAAGAGTACAGCTCATGTGATATAAACAACTCTAGCTTCAGAATAGAGCAGATAGTGAAAATTATTTCAGTGTTTGTTCTATGAAAATGGGTGTAGATTATAACTACTTTGAAAGTTACTTTTAGAACCGCTTTATAGATACACACTGATTATCATCTTTAGCTTATCAAGTTTTTCTCAACTCGGAGGGGGATTTAAAAACTCTGAACTCGACTGACTAGTCTTCATTATGCAAAATGAACTGTACTTTTTGAATGAGATATTGAGGAAAAAAACCTTGCCTTCCATTCAGCTAAATAGTGTGTACACCAACAACAATCAAAAAATATTTCAAGGGAGAGGAGTTAATAATTAATAATACTGACACATTGAAGGCAGCAGGTCACAAATAGGGACAACAGTGCTATAAAATAGGTAGTATGGAGACAGCAATCCAGTCCCTGACAACGCTGATATTTGTGTATTCTAATGACAATTTTTTAATTGGGCTACTAGAGGTGGAAGTTGCAGTGTTTGTGAAGAGAGTACTTTTTACTGTCAACAAACTACATTGACATAAATATCCCTAGTGACTGACCTCAACATGTTGCCAAAACTAATTAACGAACTCTTTGAAAGCATTTTTAGTGAAGTTGACATATATTTCTAAGAAATTCTCGTATGCAATCCTTTGTGCTCACAAGGGCATACATACAGTAATGTGCCACCTGCTGAGTTAATCTTCTACTGTTTTCACCAGTGCACACTGAGACCGAAGGTCAAAGTGGAAAAAAAGATCAAGTCCCTTTCCCAAAATGTTTGAACATTAGGGATGGATGGTAGACGTTCTGGGGCATATTCGATTGTTCTTTGGTTTTCTGTTAACATATTTTATACATAAATTGCAAGCATAGGACTGTCGTATAAGTTGCACCACAACTGCAGGTTTGGAGTAAGTTTTTCTAACGTTTTTTCCTACGATTCTTGATCTTTTGGACACACAATGACTATCTTACAAAGAAAGCTGCGAGTATTGAAGACGTTGATTTAATTGAATTGTAGATTATGCACCCAAATTCAATTGACCCACAAAAAATATGTAAAGTGAAACTGGATGTACACTACTTCAGAAAGTTTATAGACAGTATTTGCGTTTAAATTAGCTGCACACTTGAGCACATTTGGAGTAAAATTTCATTTCATGTAACAGTACGTATTGCCTGTTATTTTCAGAATGCTCCAGTTTTCGTCATCAGTATCTAGGTGTTGTGGACAGAAAAGAACAAACTATCTGTATTAGAGTTTATTATACGCCGTTTAGACATTTCTGGTTGTTCTGAGAACCACTTGAAGAAATGTAGCAGAAGTGTTACTGTATGAAATGTTTCAAAGAGTGCTATAAGGATTGGTTAGAAAAATACTTTAAATTACATTATTAATTTTTAATTATATTGCAGTGAAGCAAAATAAATATCAATTTAATTAATTAAGTGAATCGTAAACTCTTACTCACATAATAATTTCATCTGCTCAATAATTCTAATTTGAATTTAATTAGCAATTAAGTTCATCAGACATATTGTAAGATGTGATAGAATATTTCTATTTACTTCTCTATGCAAATATAATGGTAATTATCTACTACTGAATGGCACATACTCACACGGTGCCACACTGACAAACGCTACTGCAGTACGGCAGATTGCAATTTCTATTGTCTTTAATTTTTCAGAATCCTCTTGAAGAGCCCACTTTAAAACCTACCAGACTTTGAATATTATCCTAAGAAAAAAGATATTTGAAGGAAGGGAAAATCAAAATTGTAATATATTTTTGACTTTACTCTCACAGAAAAACAAGTTTGAGAATTTGGGACATCAGGTCAAGTTTTCCTTAAATTTATGCCACTTGCATGGAATGATTCTTTTGTGGAAAAACTTGACTTCCTCAGGAAAAAGAATATCATTTTAATTTTTCATTTAATTGGTGTGGAGAAAATATTGTCATGCTTCAAATGATGGCTATGTTAACTGATAAAAGTTGTAATGTAATATTACATACATGGTACGAGAAAGTACTCACCCTTTTATGCTGCGACCAGTTTAGTTTATGTTCAAATACCTGAGAAAAGCTATTAAGTCTAACTCACACAAATTGGTATGAAGCATAACATACAATTTTGTATTTTATTTACAATCCGTTAATAAATGGTAAAAATAATTTTTTGGTTGATTTAAAAAAAAGATTTTATTAAAGTAGTTTAAAATACAATAAAAATTTAGTCTTGCTCTCATTTCATTTAGTTAATTATACTCATTTTTTAAATGTAAATTTTGCTAATTTCGATGCAAAACTTCCTTCTGGATTACCGCTGTTATTTAGCTTCCTTTTCTTTGCATCAGGGGCAATCTCAAATTTTGTTTCAGTATTCTGTAAAAGAACAATCAAATTAAAATGGAGATTAATTACACAAATAAAATTTAATGAATTTATAGATTTTATGAAATATCTTAATTGAATATTCATTGTACTGCCTTTAAAACGGACATGCCTGTGCATTACATCAAACATACTACTTTTTCTCCAAACATTCAAACTGTCACAAAAATACATCAATGAAATATTTGGGAAATTTGAAATTCACATCTTTGGCAAACTCACACTAATGCTTGGTGTAATGATTTCCTCAGTAGCATCAGTTTGTAAATTAGCTATGAGTAAACTTTGAGTGATATCATCCTCTGTGTTTTGGGGACTTCCAGATAAAGAATTCTGGGAATAATCTGACAAGTTGGGTGAGTTGTCTTTTGGTTTTGCTCCTGAACCCTGCAAAAGAAAAAGAGTGAGAAAAGAAAAGGAAATAGGTTATTAAACATTCATGATAAAGCTCCTGAAAGGACTCCATTAACCAAGGTGGGTAATGAAGAGCCGAGATGATAACCAACTCATGTCAAGAACTTAAGATACAGTGGCGAGGCTTCCTATAACTGATAAATTTGGCTAAATAATAATTGTTAGATAATTAATCAATGTATAAGCACATCTATTTATTTAAAAATATACAGACTTGAATCCATTATTTAACAATAAGATTACACAGAAGGTAAATAAAGTTGCTGATACAATTATTCATTTTCAAGTGTTCTACATTTAGCTTGAGTCACAAATATATTCGATCCAATATGAAATGCATCTAGAAAACAATCATTGAAGAGTTTACACATTGTATTTATCAAGCAATTTTCTGAATATGTAATGGAACTCTGAACTTCACTTGATTTAAAAGAACGGAGCAATCAATCAAACCATACAAAAGTTTAAATAAAAATAATATATAATTTAAATTTCTCAGAATTCTAGGGAAGGTCAACATAATTTAGCTGCTAGATATCTACAATCATGATCAATAAATGCATCCGACAATCCAAGCTGTGAGGCGCCAATTCTATGAAACTTATGTTGACAGTTTCTAATCTATCTATGTGGGATTGAAAAACAGGAAACCAGAAATTATTATTTAAATAATATTAGTTATAAAATAGCTGATAAATAATAATAAAATAACTAGAAGATTACAAAAGAAACACTAATTGCACCTCAAAGTAAAAACTTGCTGCATGCTCTCTATTACTCAACCAAACATAGTGATTTTTATTCTTTTGCACAGCCATAGGCACCCATATTCATTGCATTGGTCAGAGAATCTTGGATCTTCAGCCATTTTCTACTATGCCCACTGAAATCAACCTGAACTCTTAGTATGACCTTGTAAGCAAAACGGTGAGGCATTTTGAGTGCTCCCCAATTCCTTTTTACCAAGTTTTAGATGTGTTCTCAAGAGTACTGTTGATTATCATGCATTATGGTTAACTTTAAGAAAATATTGTTGTTTGGTTGAAAATACTTGGTTCACATATATTCGAAGAGAAGTTTTTGACTGTGCAGAAAGGCTGACCCTGCCCTTTCGACCATTGAAGTAAAGTGAAGTGCTGTAAAGCAGGCACTTTGTGGGTTCTAGTTTACAAGTGGCTCAGTAGAAGTATCGACGATTATTAAAAGAGCAAAACAAATAAAAGAGAAGATCAACATATATGATAGGGTTTTTGCTTAATTTTGTAATTTAAGTGCCCTTACAAAATTATCTACATGCCACAAAAATTCAGACTATTTCGTATCATATAAATCGCAACCAGATGAATTTCAGTTTAACCCCCCCTCGAATTCAGTCTCCATCCTACATCCTTGGTCACAGAAACAAAAAATCAGAGAATGCTATAGCATTTTTAATTTCAATGTAGGCAATTGACTGTAGTTCAAACCTTCAAAACATACCTTCTTCAAAACAACTTCTTTAAAGCGCTTTACAGCAACACTAGAAAGTGCCCGACTGTCCAAATCTGGGAACTCCTCTTGAAGTGCACTTTTCTCCTTCTCAAACCACTGGGGAAATGTAGGTCTCTTAGCAGATAATCCAGCTGAGTTAGGAGACTTGCCCCACAATCCTGTTTGCTTCACCTATAATCACAGTCATACAGAATGAAGACCACCTCTAGTATCCATTCATGCCTTGTCCATTAACAACAGATTTCCCAAAAAATTATAAAAGTGGAGATATGATTAATTTATGACTAATGAGAGTACACATATAATGTTAATATACTGTTTTGATTTATTTTGCCATCATTTATTACCATTTCTGTAAAATGTATGGAACTGTATTTCACAGAAATACTCCTCCTTATTTATCCAATGTCAAACATTACATAATTTCAAAAGCTATTAACAATTAAATATGAAAAATGACATTTGTATCACAGAGAAATCTAACTTATAATATTTATTTTTAATAAGTTTGCAGAAGAGAGAAAATATATCTAGACAGATAACTGATGTGCAAATATTGCGTTCTAGTTATATTGCAAGTCCAATTTTTTTCAAACATTTTGGCACAATTCATGGAATGAGGAAAAAATATTTACATATATACATATATATACACACATATATACATACATACACATATATATACACACACACACATATACACATATAATGATAAATGATGATTCTCACTTTTAAGGTAGATGAAGGAGTCCCACCATTAGGAGCTTTCCCACCTATAGCTACATCTTTGCCTCCATTAACTTCAGTATTTGCTGATGAATCAACTACTTTTACATTTTTCTTGAAAGGGTTCACTTTCTTTTGGATTGATGATGGTGGTGTATTGGCTGGGCTATTAATTTTACCCTTAAGAGCAAGGAGAATATTTTCTTTTCCTGCAGAACAATGATGAGCTATAAGTATTTAAAGTTCAGAAATTGAAACAAAGAAAATGACTTGAAAACAATATTCACCAGTGCTGCTTTCTTGAGAAGAAGCAAATGGATCTTCATCATCGCTTTTGTTCTTATTCCCTTTAATAGCTTCTTTCTTGTGGAACGAAAATTTATTTGAGGGAACGAACCTTAAAAATCATAATAAAGGTCAATATACATTACACAAACCACATACATCTATAAGGCGTATAAAGAGAAGATTCTAGTACAGAGCCTTACAGTTGTCACTGTTTACATTCAATAAAACAGAACTTAGAAAGAGGAATTTGACCACCTTGAATGAGATTCAGTTAGCTGCCCAGTTTGACCACAAGTGATCTGATCACACATATCACTCATTCTTTCCACAAGCTGCATTTTCCCCAATTTTGATGCATACTTTATTGCTAATTGAACAACTTGAGTTGATGGCATCATTCTACATATATCCAATGCTCTCTGTTCTAGACCATTCCTGCATGCAAGCTAAAAGCAAAATATTAGAAACGTCACATTTTATTATTTCTACAGAAAAGCCATGGCATAGTCTTTACTCAGACTTACAGCAAATAATTTTATAAATGTTTCTTTAATAGTTTTTTCTGCCTTTTCCTTTTCTCTCTGGTAACTCATATCAACTTTGCACATACTATCAACAGCATCAAATATTGCTTGTGTTCGCCAGAATTCTTCTTCCAGGCCACTTTTTTCACTAGAGATTTCACAAAATGGAATCTGTAATGGAAATAATATATCAATAAAAACATCTGCACCACAATTTTACTTGTGCCATCTTTTAGTTCAAAATCGAATATTTTAAAATAAAATATACAAAAATCAGTTACATACAGAATAAAATAGCCACAATCTTGTTTGCATTACTTGATAAGAATTCATGTTTCAAAATTCTATTGTGGTCCTTATAACATGTGATAAAATTTGCTAAAACTAGTACTTGATTATCTACATATTATCCTGTTATCATCTCATGTCAGACATTTCCCTTCTGAATATTTTATCATTTAAATAAAATATATTCTTTGTACACAAGTGCAACTAGCCTGCTACCTTAAGAAAGTATGATTGAATATTCAGTCTTCTCTTTCTTCAACTACTCAAAGATTCTTTTATGTTCCTGTTACTTTTGTAACAACACTCCAAGACTTTTTGGTGTTGAATGTGGAGTAATTCTCTTTAAAAGCAGTCAGTCATAAGTCATTGTTTTTTATCCCCCTTTGGCCAGAGGCTCAGTACCATTAGTATCCATAGTTGCCAGTAGTCACCCACTCAGGGATCCACAGTGTCTCGTGACTTCACAATGCTTGGTTAAGAAGTTCAGCTGCCAGTGCAGGCATTCTTCTTAAAATGAAATAGAATTTAAAAAACCCATAACACAAACTTCATTTCCATGAACAATATGAAGAAAAATTGGCATGATTACATAAAAACAGTTTGTTTCCTCACCATTTATTAATCATATTGCTTTATTAGACAGCCCGGCACACACGCTCTCAACACATGCCCTACAGGTTGCATACTCTCATTTTTACATGTCACCCCCAGAGCCCTCCCAATCCCAAGTTATTCAAGCATTCCTGCAATCTATAGGCAATTTCAATCATGAAGTCTGAAACACATACATTCATTCTTTATATACTGTAAATGAATGTTGTATGAGAGTTCTGTTTTCTCTTAAGACTGTGGGTCAGCGTAAATGACTTTTGTATTGACATGAAAAATAAGTTTCTTACAATATTCTACAGCACAGGGTATAGTGTACTTTGTTCTCTGTAGTTTTGGAAGACTTATAACCTTTATGAAGTAAAGAGTATTAAAATTGAAGTATTATCCCCACAAGATGCTTGGAAATTCATGGTTTACAAGATATAAATACTCACATTAAATAGTATTAATTGTGTTAGAAAGTTCAATGTTAATTTTTCCTGTACAACAGAAAATAACTGTGAGACAAGGACATTTTATCTGAAAGCAACATAGAAATGCAGATTGTGACCACAATTATCCAAATACTCACCTCGGATCAGCAAATCACTTTGACTTACCGACATGATCTAATTATACATTTTAATAATTTATTATATTTTAGCTTATTTTTTCCTCTAATTTTTACTTTATACAGGATATGCCAATGTGCAGGACTGTATATTTTACCACTTAAACTCTAAGTTCTTTACTGACATGTTCAGGTATATCATATACTACATTGACAAACAAATCTATAGAGCGTTTTGCTGACAAATGTATCAATAATGCACAGTGTTATCTCAGAAATATTTGGTAACTAAGAAGAGTTATAAACTGTGGCTTACCCTAAAGTGATAAAATCCAGTGGTCTACTCTTCACAAGAAAGGAACTTTGAATTTCCTTGGTAGATATAATGACAAAACACACCTTAAATCCTTATGAATGGAAAAAGAAAAAAAGAAAAGAGGGGGCTGCTCGTCTAGTTTTTGTCAGCCAATGCTGCAGGGCTGTTGAAAGCCAGCCTTAAAATGTTGTCCTGAAGAGTACGCTCCTGAATTTCATTCATAAATAAGTACCAAATAGAGACGATGATAAGTCGACTCTGCATGCAAGATAACCCCTTAATTTTGAAGAGGCTTCCTGAGAGTTTATAAAATGTTTGACTAATTCTTACTCTTTACACAAAATTAAATTGAAATTTTCTAAAAAGAAAATTGTTGATAAGAATGCTAAAACTTATTCCCTAAGCTATCACTATTTTTTTGTTTTCCTTAAATCATCATAATCTGGACTTTTATCATAATCACTTTATCTTTACAGGTACCATTATCTCTTTCTTTCTTCCTTTTCCCATACCTGACTTGTAGGCTCCTCTGAAAGTTTTGCACATTCAATTTACATTCTAGTCTTTCATCTGATGCCACATAAGCACATTCTATTCTGTTAATAGATTTTCATTCTCTTCCTGTCTTGTTTGCGGCTTCCAATTTTTAAGAATTCTTTCTGATTCTTTAAAAGAACATACTTAAAATTCACATCATTTAATGTTTGTGTGATCAAATTTTGAGAACTTGTACATCTCTACTCCTCTATTTCGTGGTTAACATGGGAGATTCCTAGCAAAATTCCAAGTTTTGGAAATTTTTGGTAAGAATATTTTTTTACCATCCCTTGAAGGCTAAATGTGTACTTCTATCAATGTAAATTTTTTATTTTCTACAACTTGCAAAATGCAGATTTGGGCTCATTAGGCATTAACCTAAGTCCATGCAGCCTTATTGATCAGCGCATCATCAAACGAAATCACTGCCACCATTTTTATTTACTTTCACAGTGTTTTTCCTTTAATTCAATGTCATTCATTTGAGATTCTCTCTTTACTGTTCTATTAAAAAACATTGGTCTTAATTTCTAGACAAATTAGTGGTGGATACAGAGAATGTGTCCATGACGATAATAAGGTATTATAGATAAACGTGATACTTTTCAGTGATGTGCATTTAAGTGAAAAGAACTGTAGTCTACGTCATGTATACGCATATGTAAACAATGCTGTATTCTGCGTAGTCACAGATAATTTATCTTTTTTGTGGGGCAGGAGTATATCTACAAGGGCCATGCTCCACCCCAAAGCCAAAATTTATATATAATTATACTCAATTTATCCAAAGCCATACAACAAATTGACTGGATCACATCCAAAGAAGAACTATCATTATGAATAAAAGTTATTTTAATTTTTAAATATTTTTTAAATTTCAAGTTAATATTGTTTTGCTTCAAAAACATTTATGGGACGGGTGACAGTCATGACTAGAATTGCCTTCTTCCCATGTGAAATACTTATTGAATCTGCCTCTTTTGCAGGGGGCGAAGATGTTTAACAGCGATCTGCACAATATATCTGCACACCAGGTGGGTGACACTGCACTTGAAGGGAAATCGTCAGATGCAGAGTGGTCTGATGTGCAAGTTGAAACAAGTCCCTTTTAGTTTTTGCACATGGTTACGGAGGTTGTTATTTATTCATCGAGAGTGGTATATTTTATAAGACTTTCTGAATCGAAAATAACATTTTTAATATTACATTTCAACATGTTTCTAATACTACTATTTATTATAAACTTTTGGGGTTATTTGATGTGAAAGATTAATAGTCTACACAGATTACACTGTCTACGTAGTCTCCACAGAAAAAGAGTTATGTAGACTACAGAGAGAGTCACAGTAAGAGTCATGTAGATTACGTGTAGAAAACAAGCGTAGATGTAAAATTATAATCTATGGCACACTTCTGAATTTTTATCCTATTTGCAGCTTATTGTTACGTAAACATTTACGAGTATTGAGACATGGAGCAGCAATGTGAAAGCATATCTTAACACAATAGAATTAATTTATGAATATAAGACAACTTATGAATATAAGACTACTTTTGAATTACATATTTAGGAAGAAACCTGGTCGTATATTTGAGTATGGTATCTTTATATGCATGGATCTGTGAGAAAAAATGGAAAATTATGTGTAAAATAGGATGAATTGATAAAATGGAATATTTTGTTAATCGTGTTGTTATAAATCTGTTGCTAAAGTGTTTATGTAGGAGAAGCAAAATAGCAATTAAATATCAGCAATATCTTATATTACCTTCAATGGTATTTCCACAACTGTTGGCCGAGGGGTAGTTTGAGGATAATGAGATCCTTTACACAAAATACATCGTACATTTTGATACTTTTCACTTAATCCAATAACGAAATAATTATCAGATTTTCCTTTGCACTGAAAAAGTCAAATCATTTATTAAAGTATTAGTAAAGAACTCTCAAAAACATGACATAAAAAAATTAAAATATGTACATTTTCATAAAGGTCATGATGAACATAAATTTCAAAAAATTGGCAGGAGTGCCAAGTCATTCAATATGCAACCATCATTATTTTAGAACAAAAAATCCATAATTACTCCCCAGTACATACTTCTAGAACTCCATGGTTTTCCCTAATTAAACTTGCAGTTGATGATGTCAATGATGAAAAGGGTCCCTAGTCTAAGCAAGTACAATGCTACCATTATTAATAAGCTTTCATCTTAAATAATTCTTTTCAGGGGCAATGATTAATATTTATTTTTCTTTTCCACAGCATTTTAACAATTTTATCTGGCTTTGGCATTTAGGTCTTCATCAGAACAAGTGCACAGTCACTTACCTTAGCTCGAGTGTCACAAAGAGGCAACCAGAAGCTCTTAGGAGAGAGGATGCGCAATATGCCAACCGAGTCTACAGTGCACGGAGTGCCTTCGTCAGAGAATCCTGCCCACTGAAGTGTAGCATGGGGAGACAGAGGCATTGGCTGAAACGGCACAAGGGCCTCCACTCCATGCCTCTCCACAGACAGCAGAGCAAAACTCAGGCCTGGGAGGAAGTCAAACCGATTCAGTACAGGAATTCTGCCACTAAATGCAATGGGAAGCAACACTGAATTTATTTTTTAGAATATAGCTTTTTGTAATTTAACCTCTATCCAATTTAAAGATCGTCTCTAGCATTGCATTATAACAAAGTTTCTATAATTGTTCATGGTATTCTTGCTTTTAAACACTGTCTAAATCTTGTAATTTAAAATAAATACCAAACAATCACAGTCCAGCGTGCCTGCTTCAGTTATCTCGTGGCAGAAGGTGCATGTCAGCGACTCCAATTTCACCTTCAAATGTGAAAAATATCACGAACACCACGCACCATTACCTTCAATCTTAATTTCCGAGAAATTGCACGCTGCAATTATTGTTTTCGGACAGCTGATTTTGCCAGCTTGTTTGATAACTTCTATTGTGTCTAGTCTGGCTGCTAAATTACGGACCTGTATTGCAATGGATAAGTTTTTACTACTAACAGGAAAGTTATATGGTGCAAAGTGGCTTGTGTCAACTTGTGCTCACAAAAAAATTTTTAAAACTTTGTTCTTACTTTTAAAATTGGTTTAAAAACTTTTTTATAAATATATTTTTGTATTATGTAAATGTATTTTAATTTTACATGTTATATCTGATTTTACATATTCATTACACATTCTTACTGTTTTCATTACATATTTTTGTACATATTTTGATGTTTCACTCTACATATTTTTCCAGTATCCTAGACATGACCAATATCAATTTTTGCCAAGTATTAGAAATTTTACCAGCCAGATTGTCATGTGAGTGATAATTTTTAAATCCATGAACCAAGTAAGTAATTAATCGAATTTCATATTATTGTATTAATTTATGCAGAGGTAAAGAGTAGAATTTCAGTATGTGTAAAACATTCTGACCCTAAAACAATAAAAGTGCATCAATTGCCTAAAATAGGAATGGTCTTAACACTCTTATTCTGATGAAATACTTTGGTCTACTAAAAAAGAAAAATAGATATAGAGATAATTAATTCTATTAGATTTGTCTTATGTTACATATTGACTGGTTAAAATAGTCAAAATATTCATGTGTGATTTAATTTCCTATTTCAAAGCAATCTTGCATAATATTCGTATGGGGAACGTGACTACCCTGCCAGGTATTTGCATTTAGAACTTGGTATGTGGAGGGTTAACCAAGGATTTATTATCCACATTATTAACTGAGGTGATATTACCAATTGGTTTGCCTAAAAGGGATGTTCCAATAGATTGGATAACTCCCTGTATTACAGCAAGGTCTACATAAATCAAGGATTCTTCATTATCAACAGAAGAGTTATTCCCATTTGACTTTTCACATTTGACCTAATAATACTGCTCACATTTTAAGACCCCATCAGTTTACTACATTCAAACTTCAAAATTACAGGTTTTCTACAAACTAATGTGCCCATCATCCAAGGTGTTTACCACTCGGTCTGCTGGGTACCTGCTCTTGTAAAAGGAGGTTCTACTGTGTGTGTGTATTTGTATATGTATGTGTGTGTGCACATGTGCATTTATGTGTGTGTGTGTGAACACATGTGTGAATGTATATGTCTACATGTGCACACACACACACATATTGTGTATGGATATGTATGTGTGTGCATATGCATGTATGTGTATGCACATGCAGTTGTGTTTTTTCCTCCAGAACACTTACCCAAGCCATGGTGGTAGGCAACCAGCAGCATGTTGCTTTGGGCAGCCAAACACACAATAGGACCAGGAAGAGAGAGAACTTCTCTTTGAGCTCCAGCAATGGTAAAGAATCGTAGATTTCGAATGTTAGTAGCAACAGCAACCCAATTCGTTGCACATGCAATTGCTAATGCGACCTCTCCTTCTGGAAGCTCCACACTCCATTCACGCGATCCATCCCACGAATTCAAGAGAACACACACCATTTTGCTGCAAAAAAACAAAACACTTACTGATTTCAAAATTAATATGAAGATATCAATGCATGATTAGAATTCAAGAATTAAATGCATTGCAATTATATTACAATTCTTCTTTATTTTTATTTAAAAATGAAGCTTAGGAAATATTTCTCCTTATTTCACAATATTCTAGTTTATTTAAAAGTTGTTATAAATAAAAATTCCCTTTATTGGGCTAGTCTGTTAGCTCAAAAACTTAATACTTGATATCCATTTATTAATAACCTCACCTTGGAGATGTGTCTCGAGATCCACAAGCTAATAACACAGCTTTCTCACTTAAAGATGCTAACGTATGGTTTAAGAAATTATTCAGTCGAAGAGCATGATGCAATGATGAATCATGAAATTCAACCTCTACACTATTCTCCTCGCTTGTACTAAAAGAACGGATAATCCCAACAGAATTCCAAGCCTTCAAATACAAAGAACATTTTTTTATACTTTCAAAAAGACATTGAAGATATATATAAATACAACTTCATACCATATATCTATGCTCAAGGTGATCTGGTGAAGATGCCGGTTGGAAAGGACACTGTAATTTCAAGGTAGGAGCACTCATTTTACTTGCATCATCATCATCATCTAGAATAAGAAAGGTCTTTAGATTATCAATTTAAAATTAATCATTGGGAGAAACAGATTTCAGAGACATTGGGGCACACAAGGAACTTAATGTTGATACAATAGCCTAAATTTGCCCGAAGTTCAAAATAATTTATGTCAATATATCATTTCACCTCTGGCAACTTTAATATGAGTAAGACAATTGAGTTGTATTCAAAGTTTTGTAGAAATTATCCCTAAAGAATCGAATGAAAGTGAGACGTGTCCCAAGAGGTGCCCTACAGGCACTACAACATAATTTTAATAAGTGTGTTATTAAATCAACACAGACAATGCAATTTGTATCTTCGTGTTTATAAAATTTAACACATACCTTTCACACTATGAGAATCAATATCAAATTTTTGCACACCCAAACAGGGTTGTAAAACTGATGATTTAATTTTATCCAGAGAAATAACATTTTCATCGTCATCATCTTCTTCATCAATAGGCTGTGGACAACTTTGTTCATCCTCTAAAACGTCTTCCTGCTCAATAAATAATGAATAGTGTATTTCATGATCAAATACTATATTCTTATTACAAAAAAAGATAGTTCAAAAGCAAGTATCTATACTGGTTATTTTAACTTCAAATTCAAAATTATTCTTACAAAAAGTTTCAACAAAAAACATATTTCAGTGCTGGGATTTGAACTCTAGTGCTTAGTTTTATAAAGTAAGAATCTTACCCTCCCATACCATGCTGTTCATTTGCTAATATGAAAGAGATTCCGACACTTAAGATGCAAACATTTCATGATATAATTCCAAATTACGTAAAAACTATTGTTTTGAAAAAGCACACATGAAATATTTAACTATTCCAAGATCAGCATTGAGAAAGAAATCTTTAAGATTAATAATGCAGTTCTAGAAAAGGGGCAAAAAATGTTTGAATGTCTGCAATTTTTGGAATTTTGAAGGTTTTTTATGAGAATTGAAACAATTTTTAAAAAGGGTTTTCCTGAAAAGTAACCCCCAAATTTCAAAAGATACATTTCAAAGTCATGGGGCTGTTACATCAACCATATCATTCAAAGATTCAGCATTTTTATAAAAATGCTATGTGAACCTTAAAAGAAAAAATAAGAAAACAACAAAAATTTTCAATACATGGGACCCCCAAAACATTTACATCAATAGCTGGAAAAATATTTTTACAGCATCATATAACTTTCTCTCGGCTATCCCAAAAATATAAAGTTGTGTCATCGACATACCTCTATTGCTTCCAAAGATAGGTTTCCTTCAATTGTTCCCAGTTGGCCTGCTGCATCACAGAAAGCTATAGTGCCATTATTAGCAGGGTTCCATGCCATCGCAGTGATGGTGTAGTGCCGCGGATGTTCAGTGTAACTTACACACATTGTCTGATTAATGTTCCATATGCAAATTTCTCCTGAAATGGTACTTCCCGCAAGATATTTACCACAACATGAAAAGAGAGCTATTGAAATTGGCTAAAACAAAGAAATACAAGATGCTAAAATATTGTTTTATGTTTATGCAATGCATTAGCAACCTAAGAAACTGAACAAAAGATTCTTGGAAAAAGTAAATATAAATTTCAAGCTGTGAATAACAAAACTTTGTGCTGAATATGCTTAAACTTTTCTATAACCACTGGAGTTTGTTAACAACAGTTAACAGCTAATTCTTAAACCTTTAACAACTCAGTGAAAGTTTGAACCAATATTGCTGCCCTCGTTATTAGGTATCAGCCGGCTGAACATTCTGGGAAACATATCCGAACCTCCCATACCCTCTCACTGAGTAGTCCTTACGTCTATTGAGCATCCTTCATCTGTCCGCTGATGTTCATACTCCCTCATACACACAATTGTGCTGGAGGATGAAAAGAAAGGAGTGGTTATATTGTTAGATGTACGGTGGGTTGCAAAACCCGGCCATGCTGCAGCGCACAAAGTTTCATATATGCCTATGGCAAGTTTGAACCCTCTGCAGACACAGCAACTCATGGCTATCTCAATAAGCACTAAGCTACAGGGCTGAAGCTTTTGAATATAAATGAATCAATGAGGTGACCTTTCTAGAGAAGCATATGAAAGGATTGGCCTTATCATCAGAAAAAAAATTACGAATTATCAAGATCACTGGATCATGTAATGTTTTTGAGAATCATCTAACATTTAATGTGTAATTAGAAGATCAATTGACTAGCTACTGATATCCACACCAATAAAACAAACACAACTTGTTTAATACTTTGACTGTGTTACATCATCTCTCTTTAAGTACACCAAGTTTGACTTGAATATAATAGTGTCCAGAAGTTCAGGCATTTATTTTACCTAAAATAGGCAGGCAAAAAAGCATTTATTTTTACTAAAATAGGCATGCCAAAATGCATTTATTCTCGCTAAAGTAAGGGTGCACAAGAGCCAGAAACAAAGAAAAATCACCACCATAAAATTAATTGTAAAAACTTAATTATTAAAATGATTTACATTGTTATTCTAACTCTAAAATTTACATTAGCTCTTCTATGGAAGGAAACAATATTTTCTTTGAAATCATGATAGCACATGACTATCCTGTGTGATGACTGAATTTGTTTTACTCATGACACTGTCTCTAAGAAATGCTATTGTGGCCCCCCTTTTGAATCTTCAAATGACATCAATAAAAATGGAATTGAAGTTTTTGTACTTGTGTAATCTGAAAAGGGTACATCATGTACAGAGAGCTCTGTCCTCAAAAGGGATCAGAGGACATACTCACGAGTTTACTCACATATAAAACAAAGTCTGTTGGCATCAATAAAAAAATAAAAAATCTTGTCATCCAGCATCTTCTTTTCTCATTTAGATTTTTAACCCTATCTGGCACTGGAGCCTCCACTTCCACATAAAGATAAACATGACTATGCCTTTGTGATGTCCAAGCTTTAAGTATATTTCCAGCTTGATTTAGATTGGTGCCAGAAGAAAAAAGGAAAATAATGATGAAACCGGAAGAAAAAGTCAAAAATGCCAAACAATAGTCATCAGAAGCAGAAAAGAGGCACCATGAAAATCTACTAAAATAACTTCAGAAGTACGATTAAGGATTCCTATTGTTAAAAGTAATAAAAATCATAATTAAATAATAATGACGATGATGATAACGATGACGACTATAATGATTAATGACGACAAACAATGATAACAATAATAAGAAGAATAAGGCTCCCAAGCTTAGTAATGAATGTCAATATAAAATAAAACTTACTGTGAGGAACAACTCTACAGGGGATAAGAGAAGAGAATTCAGACATTATTTGCTTTAAAATCCCAAATCTCAATTGCTGACTTTATACATGTAAAAACTAAATTTCAATTTACACATGCAAATATTTTACACCTAATATAGAAAGCGTTCTCCTTCCAGCAATTACTGAGTTTTTATCTTCTTTGAACTCACCTTCAAAATTCGAGCATCCGTAAAAGATTTTATTTTTTCCCAAGAACCTTTCTTATATAAATCAATGGATGTGTTATCTGGAACAGCAATAAATTTGCCATTTGTTGGGAACCACGAGGTTCTGCCAAGACATTTGGCCACTTTAAAAGAATTGCATTCTGGTAGGCAACTCCAAATATGGACACATTTGAGTGTCTCTAATGACCATATTCTAATTGTTCCATCACAGCTGGATGATGCCTTGAAAATCATAGATAATTAAGAAAAATTATACCTTAAAAAAATGTTTAAGAATGCAAATGAATAAAAATGTAAAACAAAACATTTTCCTTTGCCTCAAAACAAACAAACAAAAAACAACAACAACTAAATATTACAAAATCAAACAAGAAATGTAATCACCAGGTATTTAAATTCTGGATCAACTGACACACCAAGAATGGGAGCTGAGTGACCTGATAGTGTTTCGTAGTTGTTAGATGACATCTCACATATTTGTATTGTCATATCCCTATGAATAACAACAATTTCAATGGTTATGAATAATGAAAATGCACATATGCAGTCATAATTACTTATCTTCATACCGTGATCCACAAATGACTTTTTTGCCATTATTACTTATCACAATTTGAGTCACAGGAGCAGTGAAGTTACAAATTATTCCATCTTTCTCCAGTTGAGGAAAGGTGTAAGCTTGAACCTTATTATTATCAGTTGCCACAAATAAAGTTTCACCCTAAAAGGTAAAATTTAATGTAATTGCAAAACTTCTTTTAGTAAATATTTTACATTTTGGTGCAGAGGGCTTGTAATTGAATTCAATGTCAAAATGAGAAGAAAATGTTAGTATTAAATACCTTGAATGCAACTGCAAATGCTGTTTCACCCACACATTGTGAATTTGGATCATCATCTTCTAAACCACACCACACTCTAATATCGCCATCATTTCCACTGGTAACGATATATCTACAAAACCACAAATGACAATAATAATAAGAAGAATATGGGCTGATAATAGTGAAGTCAATTTTATTCCAGTATGAGAAGTGACATTACTTTCCATCATCCGAGAAGCATACATCTGTATGACCCTCTGTATGGCAATAACGCATAGGTCTTCGAGAAACACTCATTATTATGAGAACTGGCTGTATCAAAATAATCTAAGAAGGCATTAAAATGCAAGCATAAATTGTGTACAAGAGCACTTAGGTAACAATTCTCACATACAGAGAAATGACTATGTAGCACAATGTCAATACGGGCAAGTCGGACACATTTGGCGGGCAAAGACGAGTATTCGACTGCATTTGTGAGTCTCTGCGCATGCGCCAACTCGAAATCGAACTCGAAGTGATCTGGCAGCCCCAGCTAGGGAATACGGCGCAGCCGCCTCTATACTGCCATTTATGCAACTCTGCCTTTGGCAGGTATCAGCTGTAGACGGTTTCATTCAATCGGGAACTCAAACGTCATCATAGTGACGTCACTACGGTGACGCTAAGCTCCCGATAGGATGAAATTGTTGATACCTGCCAGGGGCAGAGTTGCGAAAGTCGCCGTGTAGTAGGAAGTTTGTGTTATACCTCATAGCGTCCGAACTGACGTTCTTCTGCGCATGCGCAGACGCACTAAAACGATGCGAAACTTACACTCCACCAGCCCTACTTAAAAACCTTGGTGTAACTTCGTTAAAACACGCCTATTCTGAGAATAGTTTCTTCCAGCGTAAGTTCGGAATAATCATGGATTAAATTTTGACCAATAATGGCCGCTAAACCGGCCAAAACTAATCCTTGTTAAATACGGAATCAATGCTTGGCAACGTTACTTCATACACAGTCGTTGGCGTATTTACTTTATACTTTGGTGCTTCTGAAAGGACTTCGCAGGAACTTTGCGTTATGTTTGAATAGAATATAACGCATTTTTTCCTGAATTGTATTATTGCATTGGTAGTTAGTGAACTCTTATTGATGAACAAATTGTTTTGGAAAAACGATAATTTTGAATGCTGGTGTCCGATTAAAAACAATTAAATTAATGAACAAAAGCGCGTGTGCAGGTTAAGGATAGATAAATAATTGCTGAAAGAGCAGAGTTTGAAAATGAAATCTGACATATATCATGAGAAAAAGGTGTGAATTCGGTGAAATAAATAAACTATGTGTTCAGTAAGTTTATGAATATAACACTTTCAGAAATTCATTTATAACCTTTTATTTTTCAATGTGAAAAAATTGTGAACATTTTAAAAATGTGTCTCTAAATCCTAATAACAATACAAGAATTCCAAAAAACACTTTCTAAAGAACTTAAAATTGATTCTTTTATATACTGTATTCATCTCACAATCATCTTTTATAATTTACTTATTTCACATGCATTTAAAAATTTGGCTTTAGGACAAAATTATTTTCAAAATTCTTGAATATGTTAGTGTTTCCTTAAAAACATTGCCCATCCTCCATTATTTAAACAATTATTTCTCCCCTTTTTAATTTATTTCTTTTTAAACAGAATAGTAATTATTCAAATATAGTTAATAAATTATTCTTTTAAATTGTGGGTAATATTATTTACCTTCAAATTATATGCTGGCATCTTGCCATATATAATTATTGTAAACAAAGTTAAAATACAAATAAATATAATAAAAAAAAGAAGTTTATCCCAACTTGATTGGAGAATGTTACTACGATTGGTATACAATAATTGTTAGAGAAGAAAAAATCTTCCATACAACTTTATTACCAATTAAAACAGCAGTTTCAATTCATTTAACTCATATGCCGATAGAAACACTTCATTCTGATAAAAGGATGGAAAATTATTCAATTTTTGTGCTGTATAATTGGACAAGTTTACTGTTAGTAAGAAAGCTTAACTTTTTTTTCCAAAATTAAAATTAAATACGTTGGCGAGACTGTGAAATACGTGTTCCAGCCGTCATTCGTTTTGACGTGTCCTGTTTTTGTCGAGGAACATTGTCGTTCTCTGGCGTGAATTTGTTGGACTATCGTATATATTCCGCACGGCAGAAGAGCTACACCCATACTCTCTGGCAACACCAGAGCAAACGAATACTGGATGGAGATTCGGTGGGATACTTTGTGCTCTCTGTTGACGACTGACGAGCGGTCTCGAGTGCCCGGTCCCTGCACCTGCTTCGGTGTTGGTGTTGTGCGTGTTGTGTGAGGAAGTGGGCATAGCTGGAACCATACCGAAAAGCCGAACCGGCATTATGAAAAAAATTCGGTAATGACAATGATTTTATTTACTATGCAATAGGCATATAGTATATCGATTCAGTTATTGTTACTGTGATGTAGAAAGATACCTTAATAATCTATACTTCAAGGGATTTGTACTTTTATTTTATATTGTTATTTCATTTGTAACGTTATTTCTATAGGCAATGTTTCGGAATAGTATTGTGGCTGATAATTGTCTCGCTTGGGTGCAATCCAGTTCAGTCTGTAGATCGTAATAACTTTAAAACATGTGAACAAAGTAGCTTTTGCAGGTAAAGTACCACGTTTATGACCGTAATGATATGTATTTTTATTTTATCTCAGTTTCTTTAATCGTTCTGTTGTACTTTCAGACGAAGTAGAAGAGTGAAACCTGGGCAGTCTCCTTATCAGCTCCATCTCAACACTCTGTCTGTGGGGTCATCCAGTATTAGTGCTGAACTAGTCAATTATAATAACTTGGCGAAATTTAAATTTGAATTGTCAGCGATAAAAGAAGAGACATTTCGCATGAAAATATCTGAATTATCTCCCATCAGGCCACGATATGAGGTGGAAAGTGCTCTGGTCGGTGAACCAGAATTAGACACGTATGTATACTTTGAAGATAGTTTGAATATTAATTCATTATTTACTTGCAGGCAATTGCTAGAAATTGCAAAAGATGTTAACAAAATATGGTTATAGCTAAGATTAATTCAGTCATCATGTGCATCTACCTTATGTAACATTAATTGTTTCTACTTATTTATAATCAGATATATTCAGTTAAGATTTTAGTTTTGCTCATTTTGACAAACTGATTATGTAGAAGTGATAACAAATCAAATTTAACATCACTCATGATTTCTGATATCCACCATAAAGAAACATAGAACATATTTCATTGTGCAGTGGAAAAAGATGACATAAGTCAATTAATGTATCTGTGATACACTATAGAATGCTCCAAAATGCTTTATCCAACAATTTCTGGCAATGAATTTTATAGTTAAGTAATTTGTACAAAATAAATATTTGCTTTATTTCCCCCATGATTCCAAAGAAGTAATATAAATTGCAATTGCAATTTGTTGATTTGATGAATTTTGAGCATTGCTTGAAAGTAATTTTAGTAAAACTTCTTTGAGTCAGTACGACATATACATACAAACACCATTTTTATGGAAATACTTTTCAAGTATTTCCTCCAAACATCTCATAAATCTGTTGGGTGTTAAATGCAGTTATATTTTGTTATTATTTTAATCAATTGGTCTTTTTTTAGAAATCGTTACATTTTTTACACGGTTTCCTAGAATTTTGCTACATAAACATATATTTAAAAATTTCCAACCTGCTCACATGGCTCAGGGTATGAGTTGTCACTACTGCCTGTCAGTGCCTTTGGCAGGGGTCCTAAGGTTTGAGACCCAATGGTGGCAGGACTTTAAACAGTGGCTACATACGTAGGTTGGATTAAGCTGCTATCTGTAGGAACATTCTAGTGGCAGGCTGCTCAGGTCGATAATTTACTGAAGTTTCTCCAATCAACACCAGGCAAGTGCTGGAGCAGGACTGGAACAAGACTGTGTGCTAACTTACCTTCGCCTTCCTAGTTCTAACCTCACTCTTTAATTTACACACACTTACTCACATGCACTACACTACCACTCAGTGAGATAACCAGTTTGGATCTTACAGCTAGGTCGGTGATTGTGGCAAAATGTTTTCCACAACCCTGCTGGTTGCAGGCAAATCCCGCTGGTCAGAGGGTCGGCGCTGGATCTTGCCCAGTGAAGGCAAATTCTTAATGGGACCTGTAGGTCGTTTTCAAAACGTTATCAAAATTGGCTCTGAAAATTCTCAATTTTTTTTGCTGGAATTCTCATAAGTATGTTGATTTCTATTAAAGCCTGTAGGTTTTTGAAATTTGCAAAAATTGAACACTCGTACACCTTCATTCTTGAAGCTAGAGGTATTGTTCTTAACTCAATTGATTTTTTTGTATTGGGGTTTTAATAATGTTGCGCCAAGGTTTTTCAAAATATTCGTTATTTTGATGTAATTTTGAATAAAATCTTGACAAGTTTCCTAAAATCTACAAAGGTTTTCTTAAAAGGAGCTCCAAATTTTTTGTAAGGAGAGAGCACAATGCAATGAATCACATGTCAAAAACATTTTAATTCAAACTTTAAATATTGTACCAGTAATAAAATTTTATGAATAACAATTGTTTAAAAAAGAACACAATCAGCTGAGTTAGCTCAGAACCACATTATCATAGTCATACAGAATGCCTTCGGAGAAGACTTAGGTTTAAGTCATAGGTAACGGATTTTTGACACTAGCTATTTAGCTAAGTTGAATTCATCTTCTATTTGGGCATTCTCATTCCTTAACATAAGCAAATGGGGCATGGACTGCATGCGATCTTCCCTCCTACATCTTTGTTTGAATTCCACCTTACACACACGCACATGCACTACTCTCTCATGTCAGGAGCTTTGAGATTGGCCCAGCTTTGGACGTACCAAAAACATACCAGGAATCTTTGGATGTACCAAATACATAAATGAACTTCAATTGGACTTTTCAAATTATGAAAATCGGTATTTCATGTGAACAAACATAAA